GCATTACGGCATTACGGCATTACGGCATTACGGCATTACGGCATTACGGCATTACGGCATTACGGCATTACGGCATTGCGGCATTACTACAGAATTACGGCAAATAATACGGCACATGCCGTTGCCGTAATAATTTATCAAATTAATTCTACCACCAACTATAGTTTTGCATGATTTATACCGCCAAACGATAAAATAAAACCTGGAATTTGCTATTGCGGTAAATAATTATGATGCACATTACACTCAATTATTAACACTTGCGAAACGCGAATATCTGTGAAAATTATTTTTCGTGACTGTATTTCATTACGCATCATGTATCAGCCTTAAATTTTATTTGTAACAATAAAGAAAACAAATGTATATACATATGATTGAGAATTTTTCGCTCTGGAAAATTTGAACGACCCAGGGTCTACGAAAATTCTTTGCAAAATTGATCGCAATCGTTAAAACTAAATTTTTTTCATTGTTGTCGACACCTTTTTGAACCATCTACTTCGTGATTAGAATCAGAATGGTCATTATCGGCTAAGAGCCTACGCTTAACTAATTGTGTACTTGCTTCGTAAAAACTGTCGTAATGTTTATTAATCCGACGATATCCACCGATAATCGTAGAATCCTGAAATGTTTTGCGAGGGATAAGCTTATTATATAACTACAAAAACATGTCAAAATATAAAAACTTTAACCTCAACAATTTCCAATTCTTTTTTTATACTCGTTTTTTTGGCGAGCCGTTTGGTTGCGTTTCTAGTTGCTTTTTTAATTATTCTTGCTGACTGTCGCATCTAGAATTGTAGTTTTAGTGATAAATGCAAAAAATAACACACATGACAAAGTACAATTATAGATAATAAACAGCCTGGAATGTTATACTTTAGTTAGATGAGGATGCACCTCATCCCACGAAAACGCATTTCGCTCACGAGCACGCAGGCTTTATAAAGTATTAACAGACACAATATCCCTTAGGAAGAGCCTAAACTTTATGTTCTTGACTCAACGAGAACTTCCCGCCCAAGCACACAGCTCCCTCGCCAATAAGCATACAGCTATAGATATTTGGTTTCCAGGCTGTTTCTTACCTTCAGTTGGTTTTCCAGTTGTATAAGACGTAGCTGAGCAGGGTGTTCGTTCGCAAACAATTTTCGTAAAACTTCAACCTCCATTTTAAAAGAATGATGTACACGATCTTTGGGAACATCACGTAAATAGTCGGAAAACTCGTTAAGGCTCGGCCATTTTGTATAGTGACGGTTCCAAAGCTCTGCCAGAATATGGAAAATAAAGACATATTTAAAAAAAGAGGATATTCTAATAAATATTTATTTGCAAATCTTTACCATAATAACGGAGAAGATCTGAGGCAGTTTCAGGCAAGTGTGCGTTAGCTGGACTTTCTTCAGTTTCAGACAAGTGTGCGTTAGCTGGACTTTCTTCAGTTTCAGACAAGT